AGAATCGGGGGGTCCGTCCCTGGAAATGGCTCTCCGGTATGAGAATTTGGGGGTCCGTCCCTGGAAATCTCTCACCAGTATGTGAATCTGGGGGTCTGCCCTTGGAAGTGGCTCGCCAGTATGAGAATTAGGGGACCCGTCCCTGGAAATGGCTCACCAGTATGAGAATTAGGGGACCCGTCCCTGGAAATGGCTCGCCAGTATGAGAATTAGGGGACCCGTCCCTGGAAATGGCTCGCCAGTATGAGATTATGGGGGTCTGTTTCTCAATATAGCTCCTTGGTAGAAGAATATTGGGGTTCATTTCCGAATATGGCTCACCGTCCCTGGAAGTGGTTCCCCAGTATGAGAATTTGGGGGTCCGTCCCTGGAAATGTCTCACCAGTGTGAGAATTAGGGTTACCCGTCCCTGGAAATGGCTCCCCAGTATGAGAATTTCGGGGTACATCCCTGGAAATGGCTCACCAGTGTGAGAATTAGGGGGCAGTCCGTTTCTGGAATTGGCTCACCATTATGAGAACTGGGGGGGTCCGTCCCTGGAAATGGCTCCCCAGTATGAGAATTTGGGGGTATGTCCCTGGAAATGGCTCTCCAGTATGATGTTCGGCATATCTGGTGTTACCGGTGAGAGGATGATGATGATAATATTGGGGGTGATCATTCTTATTAGAGGGGCGCACTCTACGAGTCAAGTCACTGAATCCAGGGTGCCAGGTGACAGCAGTGGCCAACTGCAATAGGATGATGGCCGCTTGTACCGTCACTGGATGATGAGGGGCCTCATTTGCTTTACTGCTCCCAGTGTAAGTCTATGGGTCAGGGCTGACTGGTTGTAAACAGCAGAGGTTATCTTCATCTCAGCAGTTCAGTGTATGTAAACCTTAAAAGCGGTTCTTCGGTATGTTTGGCATCGTAACCTCACTGTATACAGTTGTTTCTTTTGTCACAATATTTCTTACCTGGAGATCCTGCCAGTGACGGCACTTCCTGCTGCTGGCTGACAACGCTAAACTCCTGCCGCAAATCAGCCGTGACGTTGCCAGCCTGCTGCGAGCATGCATTCAATGGGCCATTGGGCTGCCTTATCAGTTCTATCAGAAAGGCAGCCCAATGGCCAACCCATATATTTACAGATCGTCAAAGAATCTTCAACTGATCGAAGCCAGAGGATCGGCATGATCAGCCTCCCAGGAGGGGTTTCTGTCTGTGTTGCACATCCACCAATCAGAGCATTGCAGACAATTCTATTCAATGTGAATATATTTAAAGGAGACAGACACAGCGGTAATGATGTCATGGGGGGGTCCATCTGAAAATGTCAGTTGCCTGGCTGACATGGCTATCCAATGGCTTCAGTAGTCCCTGATTGGGAGCTCTGCCTTTCAGTGTGACTCTTCCTGATCGCCAGGCTTGTTCTGGGCCAGAGCTCCGAACCCGCACAGCCAGTCGTTGAGCATTGTCAGGAGCACAGCAAGGACAGCATGACCTGTTGGGGCCCCTGAGGAGTGTGATACGCCTGCCGTACCGTGGTGTTGGCCTGAAATGGCCGATAACAGAAGAGGCGGCAGAGACATCACACCGTCGGATTGGTAATTCCATTTCCTGTCACTGTCCTGGAAGGATCGGCTCAGGCCGGGAGCTCCTCTACAGCAATTACACAGCAGAGATCAGTTCCCGGCAGAGTTAGTTAGTGATGGCTGATCCCTCCGCTGGGTGCCCGGCGTCCCTCTGCGCCGTGCCGCTCGCTGACTCAGCTGTCTGCACTGCACCATTTACAATGCGGAGAGCCCAGACAGGGTGACCGGTGAGAGAGAGGCGATGTGTGTGTCATGTCTGATCGTCGCCCCCCCCCCCATCAGGGGGGG